TAGTGGAGAAGAGGGACTAATGATTGTGGATAGCCCGTTCTTAGACTTTGTGTCCAATACAACAACTTTTGATAAGAAGTTTTCGGAATATATTAAGGAGGAATATGTTACGTTCAAGTAAGCTTTGGACATGAGCAACACACATGGAAACACATGCTCATCATCATACAGATACCGAAGTCTTTTCGGGTGCAATAATGTTACGACAACGGATACGACAGCGTTCTATGCTCGCTTCACGACGACGGTTTTGTGTTCAAGGATGATTCAGGATTCGAAAACGGATTGTCAACTTAGTAACTCGGCAGCGACACCAGTTTGCGCTGATACTTGTGTATGTGGCTATTTAACCGAAGCTGGGTTCATGTGGCTGATGAAAATGATAGGCACAATTTGCACGAAGCGAGCAAATGATAGTGTCCAACGACGACACATGTCACAATCCCCGACAAGACGCCATTGGAATAATCCGATCGGATTTTACAATTTGTTCCAACCCGGCAGATTCGCTCGATAATTCTTGTATCAGAGGAAATGATAATGAAAAGGACAATTGCGGTTTCGGGTATTTATATGCAGGATTACTCTACCATGAAGCATCTCTAACATCTTCTGCAGCACAAACTTACTGGGATTATGCATGTACTGTCAGGATAGCTCCCTTAGTTCTACTGACTCCTGTTGTTACTCCTCCAAAGCTCAGGAACGCTGCACCGGCGTCGCCTTACCAACCTTCACCAACCTCCCGCCGATCACGACTGCCACTCCCACCCACCATGCCACCGCCGCTCCTGGTGGATCCTCCGATCTCTCCGGCGGTGCTATCGCCGGTATCACAATCGGAGCCATCGCCGTTGTCGCCGCCATCGCGTTCGGCCTCATCCTCTGCTGGCGTCGCAAGCGCGCAAAGGCAGCAAACCGGGTCAGCATCTTCAACCGACCCTCTACGATGTCACCTCCCTCGATGACCTTCACCACCGTCGACCCAGAAACCGGAAACTACGAAACCGTGGGAGGTAGAAGAGTTGCACGGATGTCTGCGTTGGAAGGTGTTAGCGATACCTCGAGTCCGGCTCCTAATAGAGTTTCTAGTCGTGGACTTGCAACGCAATCTTCTGGGTCTGAATTTGGTTATGGTGATAGCCCGTCGAGGAAAAATACCGGGAGTCCGTATACACGCCCGCTTCATCCCCCGCCAAGAGGAAGGAATGCGTCGTTGTCTAGTTCTTCGAGGTTGGGAAGTATGACGCTGTCGGATGCCCCGAAAACGGCCAGTGATATGGATGATTATGATTCCCCGCAGTCGGAGCAGTTGAGTTACTTTAAGGATTATTACTCGGCGGATGATATTCATCCCGGGGATAAGGTTTCGGTTCTTTGGGCTTACTCGCCGAGAGCGCCGGATGAGTTTGAGCTCGAGAGAGGGGATATGTTGAAGGTTGTGGGAATTTGGGACGATGGTATGCTTGGCCCCAAAAACCCCGGTTAATTGGTTGCTAATAATCTTCACCAGGCTGGGCAACCGGAATTTTCCTCAACGCCAGGGCGGAAGACTACATCCGCCGTCGCGAGATGAGGGATAGTGGAGTTTCCGCCGCGGTTTCGTCTCATAGGAGAGCACCGTCTTCTTCAGATGGTGAAGGCGAGATCAAGGCGTTCCCGCTAGTTTGTGTTTGTTTACCTGAACACTGGCAGAAGACGATAGAAAACGAGGGCCAACAAATGGCTGAGTATAGTTCCCCTTATTTGTATTTGGAACGTGAGCAGTGAGGACAGAGAGTGCTAAGAAGGGCGGGGTTTTAGGCCGAGGTAAACTTTCGAAATCCATTATCGATGAGAGACTACGAATATCTATTTCCGGACCCTAAAAGGAACCCCAGGATTACCCCAAAGGAACTGAAGCGATTGCCAAGAACCCCAAAGGAAGCCAGAAAGGAACCACCATGGACAAACCAGGATGGATGCTAGAGAATTCTCGGAGCTTGGATTGGAAGGTTTATCCGGCTGAAAACCTCTGCCCTACCTTGAGGGGGAAACGATTTTGCTTGCGGTTTTTTACTTTGTCGATTTAATGATTTTTTTGTCGTTTCTTTTTTTTACACAGTTCTGGTGTGCGCATGTGGTGGATTAGGTGGGATACATACGTGCTGCCGATCTTTTGCTCGATATACATACCCGATTCGTTATTCATAGTTTTTTTGTTTTTTTTTTTTTTTTTCTTTTCGGAATGGAGTTTTTGTTCTGGTTTCTTTTCTTTCTTTTTTTTTTTTTTCAAGTTTTCCCGTTTTCATATTCAGTTTTTTTTTCTTTGGGGATGTGTTTCAGAGGAATGTTTTGCATGTCTCGTTTATGGTGGTTGTTTGATATGGTGGTTGCACGTTGATAGTTAACTTAGTTGTTGACGTTTTTTTTGTTTTTTTCTATGTCTTTTATCATGCGCTTTGGTTTTTCGTTTTTTTTATATGCGATATACATATGGGGTAGCTTGTTTTCCCTGGGCGATACGATACCTGGCTTAACATTTAATTGTTAATACTGGAGGAATGGAACGCTTAAAAGGGCTGGAAAGCTGGAAAGCTGGTGACGGGTGAGGAGGTGCTGGTTTTCTGCATATACCCCGCGTTGTTTTTCTTATACTTACTTATTGGGGAAAGCAAGCAAGCAAAATCTCTTGTTCGTTTGGGAGACTAGGAGAGAGAACATGGGGATGGATGGATATAGATGGTGGGCCCTCGAGGGCTGTTGTGGTCAATTGAAAGAGGCTTGGGAGATAAAGTGGTGAAAACTAACGGGTTCCGTAGTGATTAAATGCTTGTAATAAATGTGAATGTGAGATGAAAGTTTAATAGACGCGCAGAGGGTTTTTAAATGTTTCGATAAATTTCAGTACGGATGGGAAGAAAGAGTGTGAAGGGCTGAGGGCTCCGGTTCGATCTACGATGATGTAGTGCAGAGGGGATGCGAGTCGGCCCGTGAACTCATTGCCCGTGCTATCTCAGCCTATCAGTGGAGACGTCTGACGGCCATTGCTATCTATCCGTTCATCATGATAAGGAGACTGTTTCTCATCAAACCTCTGTGCGAATTCTTATCCCCCGCATTGACACCACCCTTCGAAAATATCCAGTTATGCCCGACGTCCATGCACCTATCGATCTCAGCAACTTGGCTTGTTCTCAGTGTCCACTTCAGATCACCCACGATCACTCGAGATCGCTGCACTTGTGCGCCTTCGAAGTTCGCACCACGCCGATCTGGGATCCTACCACATACATCGCCTGGGACATATACCTCACATAAATTCAGCTCTTCCACCTAAGCAGTCGAGTAGGTAGTCGCTGAGCTGGCAGCTGCTTTAACCTCCGCTCCCATCAACTCCACTACGCGATATCAGATTTCCGTGATCAGGGTTACGGGTCACGGGTGGATCCTGATTAATGTAGTACTAGAGGCTAGTGGAGAGCCGGAATAAAATTGAAGAGATATGGCTCATACAACGTTACTAAAAGTTGCCTCCAACCATTAAAGCAGTCAAAATCTTTGAGACTTACCCGGCATCGATTGTATCCATTTGTATGTATAAATCCAGCCTATCCCCAAAGTTGTCCTGTCTTTTTTGATATCTTTTTCTTCAACTAGATCTATAGAAACTCAGGCTCCGCCGGCTATGTTTACAACATCTACACTACACGCCCAAACCGCGATGCTGATCAAGTGATCAACCGAGGTATAATCATTGTGCGACACAAATGGTGTTTCCAATAAGCATTGGCGATAATCTCGATCGCTTGCTTAGTGAAGATGCTTTGTGTGGAGTTCTGTGGTTATTCTTGGGGTGGACCAGTTTGGGAGGTGATTCAGGTGTAGGTGTGCATAGATACAGTCGAGTGCTTTCCATATGGTCCTGCCTTTGCGGCTTAAAAATGATAACTTAACTCGATAAAGAGCTGTTTGACTGGACATTGGGTGCCAAAGGTAATTCACTAGAGGCGTTCTAATGGATGTTCGTTGGTGCTCGGTGTATGTTTTTTATCGCAGCCAGTTAAGTCGCTATTTTCGGGATGTTTCTACGAATAGCGTTTAAGGGCAGGGATCGGTAAAGTATTTCGGAGCCAGTGTTTAGATTTAGTAAATGGTACATGGATTGATTCATGGCATTTTACTAGTTAGATATGAATCGTGATTTGCACTGTCAGTGTGCTGCAGTGTCTAAGAGGAAAGATTTTGTAGATTCCCTCTTCGCCTATCCAACTATCAATCGTGATTTATATTTCCAGCGTGGTACAGTGCATGAAATGAATGTCAAAATGTACCTTTAAAATGAACCAGAGAGCAATTAAGATCCAACACGCCAACTATCAAATGAGTAAACAATCAAACGGCTATGGTAATTGATTGGGCTTTGCAACGCAACCACACAGCCGGACTAGCGTCTAGACTTCCCCATCTCGCAACATCGAAGATCACACTACCGTGAATTATGAATCACGATGTATCACCCAGGGGCCAGCACATCCATCGAGTGGCGCGGGAGCATCGTTACACGTGAAATTCACCATAAACCCGTAGAGCAGATCTGAGATCCCTAGAATAGATATCCAAGTGACTCACGTCATCCGTGGATAGTCGTGGATAAGGTTCTGACTGGTGGCTTTTGTTTCTTCTGCAAGACATCGTGGGTTACACCCGCACTCGCTGTCACTCCTGAGTGCCCGCTAGCAGGGGAATTGTTCATAGTATCTCACCCGGGATTTTCACTCGCACGCTAAATCTCAAAGCCATTACGGTTACAGACTAAGTTCAACAGACTCTGTACGATGGTTCAATTCAACACGTGACGCAAAATTGAAATACTGTTACCATAACCATAACTCTTAACCACAATCCCACCCCCCTCCTTGATTACGATATCATCGCTGCTTTGCATAACCTCACCAACACGGAAACACGACCACACACTTTGTGATTATCATGGTTAAAGTGAAATTTGTGATATATCGGGTTGCATGGTGTAGTGGTTATCACACTTGTCTCACACACAAGAGGTCCCCAGTTCGACCCTGGGTGCAATCATTTTTGCCTTACATCACCTTTTCTAAGTCCTTTACCACGAGCTGCTCATCTCCTTTGTAGTTCCCTCATAATGCTGGGTCTCTTCACCCGATTTTCCTTATCGCTGGAGCTGTAGCGAACTGCCTAGCTTATGCATTCCGGCATGCATTGTTATGCATCTATTGCCGATGCCGGTTGTATAAATTGATAGCACGGTGCACTAAGCTAATGGACTTAAGTATCTTACTCATTTTAAACTGCTCGTAATGTATCTTGTAGAGTAAAGACTATCGGATACCATAGTCTGACATCCCTCTATAAATAATTGACTACGGTTAGCTGCGCGTGATGTTGCTAATGTGAAGGCGTACTCTCATGTGAGTGAGACCGTGAGAGAGTTAGGACTGTCACGTAAATCTGAATATCCTGCAACGTGTAATGACATTTGCAAATATCAGCGCTGCGGCGGATGTGTGGCGGGTTGTTCGGTGGGGGTTATGGACCCTGGATTCATGCTGGGGATGTGAGAGTGATCCTATGTGATTGAGACATTGATTGTGTTGGTTTGGGAGGTGTCAAGACAGGTGTTTGGTATGGTGGCTTTGTTGAGTTTAATAACTTTGTCGGACTTTGCCAGACTTTGGAATTGATAGAACAATAGACAGGGGGTACCGCAGGAGGCTCTGTAGGTTACTACTCCACGAGGAAGTGGGTGTCCGCTGTCGGCTGCAAAGATTTTGGTTAGCGGGTTAGTGATGTGGGGAGGGAGTGTTTTATTATTTTAACGCGTCGCAGGACAGCCGTCCTCGCGCTTTTATTTTGCTTATCTAAACTATCTAATTTTGAAGCTAAAGCTATGAGAGTAAAGCGCGGTATTGACCAATACAAAGTGATCTTGATATAAAGAGCTGTAGAAAGTGTGATGATGATAGTGCTGTCGCCGGAGGTGATAGTGGTGATAATGGGTGTGTTGGTTGGACCGGGTGTGGTGCTAGGGAAGATGTTGGTGGTCCGAGTTGAGCCACTGGAGCTTATAATGGTTATGGTACCGTTGACGGTTGACGTTGATGTAGCGGATTGAGTATTGAGTTGGTAATCGTGAAGGGAGGAGGTCGTATGCTGCTGGTTATGAAGAATGATAAAGTTGAATAAACGGTATTCCATACAGTCACGGCCCCTACTTCAATTTGAATGGTCGTGACCACTGACAGGCCCTATCACGCATCAAAGCAGTTTCTTACATCTTTTTATATGAAGTATAAAATGAAGTATAATATGAAGTATAAAATATAGTAATAACAGATGTAGTAATAAATAATTCAAAGCCAAAACCCGATTCCAACAAAAACTCAATCACAAAACTCAATCACAAAATCTCAATCTAAAATTCAAAATCCATTATGAAATCCGACTCGTCCGAATGCTGCTGACAGAAACTCAAATAAAACATGCCTCATTATCCAAACTGAGCGACTACAATGGTTCTGGAATAAGCGGAATGTGAGCCTTCCAATAAATCAAAAACTATCGCAATCGGCTGGATACTCATTGCATTCGAAAGTGTTCTGTATGCTTCATTTAGAAACTGGCTTGTCGGTACACTGCAAATGAAATTGTTATCACAAATGCCCCCATTGGCCGCATTTAGCGACCTCAATGGTTCTAGAATGGTCTGAATGTCAGCTTTCTGATGAATCAAAAATCGTGGTAATCGGTTAGATGCCCGTTGCGTTCGATAGCTTTTTGCATACCTCATTTTTGATCACAATCTCCAGCCTATGGATAATCAATGACGGTGCTGTTGACGCTGAGATGCAGCAGTGACTGGCGCGGTTGACTTGGTGTTACCAGAGCGGCATCTGAGAGTTGGGGGAGGTGACGACGATGGTGTGAGGTTCGATTGCGGAGGAGGTGAGGGGGAAGACATATCAGCGGATGGTTGTGCATAGGCTGGGACTCTCGTTGCGTTGAATTGTAAAAGTCTTTGCAGAGATTGAAGTCGTGTTTCAGATTGGAGATTTTGTGGGATGCATGGGTGTCGCTGAAATGTTGAAGTGCTCATGGCTGTCGGAACTATCTAGTAGCTCGGAACTACCACACTGTCAGCCGATATTTCCAAGCTATTGCTGTAACCGACAGACCAACCCTGCCCCCCCTCCTGCGTCGTGAAAATCTTTCCTGTCTCGCCTTGCTGCTGCAGCCAGCACAGCAGTTAAGCGGCGAAGCAAACGGTGTTGGGAACAGCTGTACTCAAAGTCCGCGAAGAAGCAATACAAAGGCATACAGATGAAGCTATAAGCCCTGCCGGAGAAGCTGTAAACTGATGCTGCTGGTGCCAAGAGATGTGTGAGATGACGATGGTGATAGCAACGGTGATGATAATGCCAGATGGGAAGGTGATAGTGAGGTCTTCATGCTGCCGGCAGTGCGACAATGTCTATATAGCAATGAAGTCTTATTCAAAACCTATAAATTCTGTTAACATGATTTGAATCATGCTCCTTACATGTTATGACTTCAAATTTTTCAAATGATTGAGACATAATCTGTAAATTCCGCTAACATGATTTTAATTGTTAAAAATATAAAGATGTCTGAATTAATACTGAACTACATACGGGATCCTATGGCCTTATATATCTAAGCTGTCGGCTATCGCAGTCGCGAAGTCTTTGTCTATACAAATGACGAGTACGGCTGCATTGCCTGAATGTAGACAAGCAGTTTGTTCCCTTACTGTTTGCCCCCCTTACAAAGGAAGCAAGGACTCGCACATCGAGAACTGCACAAAGATGTACGGAACAAAGAACTTCGACGCGCCCCCTCTTGTCTACATCCGTATGACCTTAGCCAATGTGATACCAAAAAGAAAACAGTATCCCAGAACCGAAGACTCCATTTGGACGCCCCGAGGGGTGGAGAGTTGGGAAACAAGCCATGCGGCCAAAAACCAATCTCGTCTTCGTCATCATACAAAAAAAAACATATAAAACATAAACCATCTAATCCCTGAATAAAAGTAAAACAAAAAACATAATAAATAATCCATCGAAACAAGTAATCTATTTTAATCATTCGAGTGATGTTCCATCAAAACATTTCGTCGTATGTGTCGATTTTTATCAATTCTATTCGCTATCATATCACAGGCCGCATTTGTCGACTAAGTACATGTGTGTAGCCTTAGGAAGAGCTTTTTGAGTAGGTCAGCGACATTTTCTATGGACCTGACGTGTTCAAACTTGACCGTCTTTTGGATTTTTTCTTCATCGTGTGTATGGTGAAATTTACAGCTGATGTGCTTTGATTTTGTTTCCAAGATTCCAGAGTGTATTTTTGTGAGTGCTCCTAAGTTATCGCAATACATTTGTACTGCTGATGTCTCTTTCTGAATTTCTTCGTTCAGATACCGTAGCCATATTGCTTCTCTTGTTGCTTCACATGCTGCAACATATTCCGCCTCTTGTGTTGACAGTGAGACAACCGTATGGCTCTTTGACTGCCATAGGATAGGTCCGAAGTTGTTTTCCAGTATGTTGCCATGACTGAGGATGCATCCGCTGGTGGATTTGCGATTGTCGCGTATGACAAGTTAGCTTCGCAATTTTTACATACTGAATATGCGAACAAGGTAAAACATTTAGACTGTAAAAATTTAATGAGAGCTATGTACTAAAAACGAACGTGGCTTACTTCGCTACCATACGCGGTTCAACTGATAAAGATTTGAGGAAGTATTCGCTGCATACCTTCAAGTTGAAACCTAACCCCAACACCAATCCAATGTCGGCCGGTCGGCTCCGATGCTTTTGAAAAGACTCCGATGCATTAAAAAATTCAGCACATAAGCTAGCAGGGAATACATGGTATTGGATCCCCCACCGGTGATTCCTGCCCTACGTGCCTGTACCTGCATAAAATGTCGTGCATACACTGTCACCCTGGTGTGACCTAGCTACTCTAAAACCGCATTCATGTACGATCCGGTAGATATCTGCCGCTCTACGCGCAAACCATGGCAATTTTCGTTCTTTTACGAGATGAAAGGTATTTATCATGCCATGTCTAGCGATGAAGTGGAGACATCGCTCGAGTAACGGCTAATACGCTATCCCATTCGAAAGTATATGCTCGGGTACGGAATTTGATTTTCCCAAGTCTCCTATGAAACTGCACAGTCAAATTGTGCTACTACCTCCAGCATACCTTCACTTCTTCCGGCTTCAACTTTCAGCTCCGAGAACTATTGTTATGAAGAATCCTGCAACTTTCACTACTTTGTTGGCTGGAGTAGCTACCGCCCTGCACTCTCAACAGCATTCGCACTTAAATAACATTCCTAATCTCATCAATCGCGATGTCAACCAAACTGATATCAACTGCATAATCAAGTTTCCCACGGATGCATAGACAGTATGTGCCGATATATTGGTGTACCTTAACCTTACTCTCGATGTCAGTTGACTCCCGAATCAACCTTTGTATGGTCTTTTACTAATATCTATATACTGTTGATAGCACTTTGTTGCAGCAAATCCTGGACTGTCAGCGGACTGTGGTGGCTTTCAACCTGGAAGCGATTGTTGTGCTCAGAGTCGTAAGATAGTTCTAAAAACAGCCTTTGTTCTAGAAAACCAACTGAGGGTAAACTTCGCTTCCAGAAACGCCTATTCCTCAAAACTTGAGTAACTTCACGCTTCCAAAGCCAATATCTATATCGCCGAATGGCCTGTGCGGTGGTCAGGTGCAAGATGAGGGTATTTTTTTCTCTATTCTGCACCGTATTGTACTAACTATCCCCAGTGACATGCATGGGATCACTCTTTGGTGACTGTTGCAGTAAAGATGGATAGTGAGTATTGTTTGCATGTTGACTTAAAAATTCGAAATCACTGAAAACGTTTATAGCTGTGGCAAAACTACAGATTATTGCGGTCAAGGTAAATGCACGGAAGGAAATTGCGAAGGTGGTCGAGGACCTATCTACTCTCTTGATGGTACATGCGGTGCAGAGCACGATG